TATAAGAGCTGGGAAACCCTTGCAGTTTGTCTGTCCTGCGGGGCAGACCCAATGCGCGTTGATGTCATTATTGAGCTCAATAAAACAACTGAATCTACAAAGACTGTGTCCTGCTCCTTGGATGAAGGATTTCCCACAACACAAGGCTATACATAGATTGCAGTTTCAGTCCAAAAGCCTTTCACTGTAAGGCCTGATCCTGCTACATTTTAACTTACAACCACTTTCAGAAAATCTCAAGCAGTTCTGGAGCTACAGCTGAAGTCTCAAGCAGCCTGTAGGAGGGCCTTCAGGTGTTTGCTCCAACCTCAGATGTCATTTAAACCCTCATTATTTTCTTACAGGGGACTTTAGGGTATTTTTTGTAGCCGATTACACAAAACATTCACAACATTCGCCACACCTGACCACATTCATGAACTGAAGCCAACTTTGGCAACGTTTCGGAAAATGTCAGCAGGATGAGGCCTTATCTTTTGCTGCCTCAAGAACAGTGTTACAAGTCCTCCTTATTGGAGAACTCTTCTACTGAATTTAGTTATAAACCTCCATTAAAAAGGCTCAAACAGAATCCAGGATAAGCAGTCCAGGAAAGACCCCATGTTGTATTTTAAGAAAACAGAAGAATAAATGAACGGCCTTACCTTTCCTCTGAAGGAATACCCTAAGCAGCGGATTGGCGGTGGAAATTGCTTTGTGATAATTGTCGTCATTATTTATTGGTAGTAAGTCCCCGTGAATATCTGCGTACCCAACCAAAACATCCACGTTCGGGATTCTGTGAACATGTTGTAGCAATCCGTAAAACTCGTCGAACTTTCCGGGCTTCGATCTATCCAGGGAAAACCGTCGGAATTCGGCACCAAACTGTAATCAGAAGAAAATGAAAATATTTAGATGTAAAAAATACTTTTATCTGAAGTCAAAAACATAATTCGAGATGGTATATATAGATGCTTGCAAACATGGCTCTGCTCTACCTAAGCCGTTCACTCCACAGCGATCTTCTAACCTGGGTACGGTATTCAGGGCTTTGCAGCTGCTATATCTGGACCTCCACATCGGTTATTTCCATGAAGTTACACCGAGTCAGCATGTTCTTTATGTCACAGTGTGCTGATATATGTAAACTGCCATGAAAACTGAATAAGATATACAAGAAAGACAGAAATGAAAAAGCCTGCTATCCATGGAAAGTCAAGCTCCTTGTGCTCCTTCATATTTACATAGAAATGAACACATAAAACTGTACGTATACTGCAATTGACTCTATACAATATGAAAAGTTTTTAATACAAATCCCAAGTGTCTCCTGTTTGAAGGTACTTATCTATAGGTATGCAACAGTAAACGTGATCTAATTTTTTACTGCTCTACTACATTAACAGGGTGTTCACAGATTAAATAAACAAAACACATATTTCAGATATCTTTAATAGCACAGCTGTACTAACACCATAGGCACTCACTAGCATTTCAGTGCTACACCTACCTACCCATTTAGAAACTTTCCACACCCAGCGGAATTACACAATGGTGACGATGGAATATTCCACAATCTCCTATCCCTCTCCAGGCCCACTGTCGAGATTTTAATGGCCAGGAGAAGAAGTAATCTAAAACACCAGCCACGTCACAGACAGCTAATAAAATGCAACCTGGGATCTGATAACTCTTCAGTTCACCACACTCTGACCAACTTTGGAAATCCATACAGGGAGGAATTAAAAATGCACTGACAAGAAGGAAGTTCCTCCAATAAAGCCCCAGGTCGCTTTCGACATTGTGAATTAAAAATAAACACGGAATGTGGTGGGGTGTGGAAAAAGATACTGTCAGCGTGGTTTCCCAGTACAGTAATGGACTGGCACCCTGTCCAAGGTGGATCCTGCCCAGCTCCCATGCTGACCATGACCCTGTACTGGAGTAAGCCTTTTTCAAAACTGGAGGGATGGACCTGCCAACAGGTGTGTAACAAAGGTAACAGTGAATGAATGAATTAGCAAGGAAGCTTCTTAGAAAAAGAAGGGGCATATCAAAAACATCTCCTTATTCTTTAAGGTCTGTGTGCTCAAGCGACAGACTCGACAGAGCAGCTCGGTGTAGAAATTCACACTGCTACAGCTACACTCTTATTTTCTTCCGTACACATTTTAAAAGAATTTATGACAAAAAAACACTTAGTTCTTCAAAAGAAAGTTAGAAGCTAACATTTTTAAAAACCGATTCAGCTCTTTTAATAAGTCAAAACACGTTCACTACAAATAAGCTTATTTAAAGGTTTAAATGAGATCATTTTTTCCATGAACTTACAATAATACATTTAAGAAAGAAATGTTCTGCTCAAAAATTTACATTTTTTGTACCTTGCAAAACTAACTTATAATTAGAGGCATATATTAAAACCCATCTTTATGCAATTTGAATTTAACCTCCAAACTTATTTTCTCTGTGACAAATTTTTATTCCTAAATGCCTGCTTATTCAGAAATATCTTAGCATAACCTCTGTCTCAAATTATTTGCCTGCTTCATCAATTGAATTGCTTACACTTTGTTTCAATTTTCTTTCTACAGCTATATGTCCTTCACATACTGGAGCATACATTCCTGCCCGGGCA